TTTGTCCACACACATTGCTGCTAAACCTTCTGGCCAATTATCAGGGTTCATTACCCTAAGTATCTCATAAAGTCTGGAAGACTGGATAATGTCGGAGAGTTTATATCGACGGTTTTTTATAAGTATTGCACATCTTTTGGGTTTATAATTGGACATCGAATTCCCATGCTTACCCCAAAATAGCTTCGCATAGTGATCATAAAGCACAATTTAAATGATCGTCTGAACCTTGGTGAACGCACCAAGCTTTCGATTTCTGCCTATGGCTATGCAATCTTATACGTAGTTATATCAGTCCACCTTGAGGCCCATTACCACCAAACATTTTCGACATTACAATTGGTTACTAGGTACCAACCTGACATTTCGTACTTACACATTTGGGTGTGCATTCCATGTGCCAAGTTGCGCCACTGCAACATACTAATATGGGTCCTTAAACAAGGATGTGAATCTTTGTCAATCATGATTCTCCTTCATATTAGTTCTCTTTAGAGCCCTTGTAAACGATCTCTTTACCACTCATTCGTGGATTATCACGTCAATGAGATAGTTTTCCCACCGTTAGAAGGAAAATGTTGTCCATTGTGTCTCATCTCGATTTTCGTACCGCACAAGTGTGATAAGCCAGTGCGATGTATTCTAGCTTTCAGAATGTTGCTCCAGATGCATTCCTCTAATCTAGTTAAAGTGACGAGATCATATACCACCTACAAACATGCATGCAAGGATAGATGTACTTAACGTACGTCGAATCAACATCCCTGAAGGGTGTGCCGCCCCTATATGATGGTTTGGTCGTCCCTGTTAGACGACCCGATGCATCGGCAAATAGCTAAGATCTGTCTTAGCTTGAAGCACGACAGATCACTCGGTTTATAGGATTTATTTCCCTAGAAGAGGAAGGTTATGGCACAAAATGAATCCATACTCGATCGCTATCTCAAATCATTTCCATCTTATAAGATTAAGCTGGATTACTTTTGAGACTAGAAGTTCTTAGTCCAATATACTTGGTTGGATGAGATAATAGAATGCACACCTTATGACATAAGGTTTCTCTCAAACGCCCTGTGACTAACTGCAGTATTACGAATGTGGTTAGTGTTTCTTTATGGGGATATAGATATGGAGATTTACAAGTAAGTTCCCGAAGAATTACATGAACTGACTCAAATGGTTCCAAACCACGAAACACCCTCTTAACTCGTTTAAGGCGTTCACTTACTGATTTAGGCAATCTAGCGGATGTGGTATACCCGTCTAAATGATTATTTGATCAATTAGGGATATGAATTATGCCATTGCATGTTAAACTATGAAGTCATATTTTGAATTGCTACAGTTGCAGGTTCTGTCGATGACATGCATCTCTCTAAGACTTTAGAAGAGCTCGAGAAAATTGTCTCGCATCTAAAGATGGAATTTGAGATGAAAGATCTTGGAAAAACTCGTTTATGCCTTGACCTGAAGTTGAAGCATTGTTCTGACGGTACTTTGGTCTACCAGGCTAACTACACATCGAAGGTGTTACCTTTTGATTATTCCTATGATCTTCCAACGCTATATGAAAATGAGACCCTTGAAGAGGTTATGGAATTCGAAGTTCCATATCTGAGTTCAACTTTGCACATTGTTGTACTTAGCTCATTGTATTAGATAGCATCTCCTTCACTGTTAATTTATTAGTAAATATACAACATTGCACCTACACGCATCCATTGAATTGGTATTAAAGACGTTTTTCCTCTACCTTGAAGGTACTACAGATTTAGGCTAATCCCAACACATCCTGAGTGGAACTAACCCCTTTGATCCTCGAAATGATATTTGCCTTGTTTGTTATGCTAACACTGGTTACTTATCAAACCCGCACAAGGCACATCCCTAAATGGTTATATCTTTACCGTTAGGGATATCGCAATATCTTAGAGGTCCACGATATGACCTTAGTTGCGAAATCTTCAAAACGTTCCAAGACTCACCTCACTTCACTACGCAACACATGAGACATGGTTGAGAGCTCTTGTTGAGCATGTTCGAAGTACTTGTTGTTTTCATCTATCGTTAAGTCCTGACGACGATCCATGAAGATTATGCCGTATGTATCAACCCAACCAAGACATGATACCTCAACGAAGTCAACGCCAAGACATATTGTGTCTAAATCCACATCTTCAAAGCATCAGAAGGTTGAAGTCATGCAAGCCGATCCCAGACAATCTTGTCGACCTTTACACAACGTCACTGCTAAAGTCAACCTTCCAAAAGCTTGTTCGAGGAATTAGTATGCCTAACTATTCATATGCAATGCTTGTAGTTCTCATTTGGAAGTTTCGTCATACTCAGGGGGAGTATCCAGAAGTATACTCATTTGATCTTAATGTACTCTTTCCCTATGATTAGGAGCATTTTTCCCACTGGGTTTTTGCTACCTAACTAGGTTTTGACGAGGCACCCATCCTAGGTTGATCATACCCTTGTGAGCTCTTCTAATTGCATCCGGAAAACGTATAGTTTTGACTTAATGCAACTTCTCACTTTTCTCCTAAGTTTATGAGTTTTTCTCCCACCTTGGGTTTTACCATAGTGAGGTTTTGTGAGTTTTACCTTTTATGCATTCTTCCGTTGATTTGAGACTTGCATTCGCTCATTGTGCCAACGACTTCATCAACTGTACTTACTTCATTGCTGAAGACTTGATATGCCATTTGTTTAAGTATTTACACACTCAAGGGGAAGTGTTGCAATCATATTAGATTAAGAATGTGATCGTGTAAATCCTATCATATCTGGTATATCCTTATGAGATTCTACCATATCTCTTAGACTATATAATATCCTATTAGAGTAGTAATCCTATTGGGGTAAGGAATTTACCTTCCTTACTACTATAAATAAAGGCACAATGGGGTGAGATAATATACCTCACAATTACACATCTCTCTCTTTCTCTCTATACCTTATAGTTCAGTAAATTAGACCTACAACAAATCTCAATTTAAAACCTAATTATTAAGTTGATCAAGACCCCACGTCTAATACGACAAGCCAAATAATTAATGGTTTCATTGGTGAGTACTGGCGTAATTTCCGTTGCATATAGAGCAACCAAGCAATTGAAACACGATACGATCATCAAATGCACATCTTGACAGAAAAAGTTGGTTTCCTTCTATCTTCAGACGATCACAGTACAAACTCTCCGCTTACTCTTATTGTTCTTGTAGCCAATTGGCTCCTCCTCCATTTCCTTATTTATATCCCTAAACCATGCAACTTCCCTAACTACTTTCAATTGTCGTTCTATAAGCTCAAGATTAATGTTGGTCCATTTTGATGTATTTTTCATGCATTAAATAACTTAAACCACGTTGAGGCATATCAGATTGGGGATCATACACAGTTTCGTATGTCAAGGAAAAAAATTGTTTTCACCAATTGTTGTAGTGTATTTTATATGACTTCTTATCATAAAAGTTTCAACGCGTATCAAGTCTGGCATGTAATCAAAACATTAAAATATATAAGACTCCAAAATCTCTTCAGCGTATATCCTTCCTATATCTCTCACTATATTACCCATTAGATCAAAGAACTTAAAGTTTTTACCAGTCTCATCTTCTAGATAAAATAATAGATAATTTGAAAAAAAAAAAAAAAAAAAATTAAAGTCTCAACTTCTGGATTGAAAATATAGATAACTTCAAAATTAAATTTTCTGTTTAAAGACAATGACTCTTCACTTTCAGATCCATATACGACAAAATCGATATCAATAGACACAATAAACTGTATAATCTCCTTTCCATAACATGCACCAATTGTGCATCCGATTCAAATGACACACGATAACTCTTTATACTCTAATCCTCTAACCACTTAAAAACTTCCAATAATCAATATGAAAATTTAAATTTATTTTTAACTATTACCTTAACTTACAAAACAATGCTTAGGTAAACCTGTCATTCTTGTCGTGTTTTTCGTGTTTGTGTCGTTTTCATGTCATACCCAATAGCTTAACGGGTCGTATCGTGTAATACCTGTTAAAGTAAATGAGTAATATGATCCGATCCGAAATCAACCTGTTAATATTACGAGTGATTACATTTTTCACATTCTACAATAATTATTATTAATTTTGCACTCAATGTAAAAACCAATGTTCATGTGATTTGGAGGGTTTTAAAAATCTAAATGATCATGTAACCATCGTCTCAGTGTTGAGGATGTAACCATCGTCTAAGCGTTGAGGTTATTATCGTGTGACCAGATAATGACCCGATTAGTTATCGTGTTGATCCAAAACCCGTTATTTTCGTGTCGTGTTAACGAGTCGTGTAAGAAATTATTAGGTCTATATGCTTAGGTACGACAAAGTAAAACTACAGAGGCACACCATCTTTCTTTAGTATATAACTATGTTCACGAAGGGAACTGTTATTAGCACTTCAAAAATCTCATTCTATACTCCTTGCAAGTGTATGTTTTTCCTAATCATAAAAAATTTGGAGTGTCAAATAAGATTTTTAAAGTGCAAATAACAATTATCTTCACGAAAACAGAAAATATATATTTTTTTCTTTAAAAAAAAAAAAAAGCAACTTACATTACAATCCCCCGTGAAGACAAACACGAGATATGATCCTCTTGCATGCCTCATGAGTAACTCAATTCTTGTTTTAAAATAAACTATAAAACTTTGTGCAAGACTTAAGTTTTTCCGAGTTTCAATGGATTTTGACTAGGGCTGGAATAAAATTCGAAAAATCCCAAACCGAATCAAAAAATTCTCGAAACCAAATCGAAATTCACGAAAATTTCAGTACCCAATACTGAATTGATCCCGAAATTTCGGTATGGGAATCGGTCTCAAGTTTTTGGGATTTCGGTAATCCCAAACCAAACCGAAATATATATATATATATATATATATTATTTAATTTTTAAATATATATTTAGAATTTTAATAGTCATTGGATTCTGTTGAGATTTAATCTCAACCGTTGAATATAAATCAAAGTTATCAAAGTTTCTGACTCTCTCTCAGTCTCTTGACACTCACCTCAGGTCCTCACCTCAGACTCAAACTTCACCACTCTTTTTGCCGATTTGCGATTTGTCTCTCCTCCTCCCACATCTGTCGCCTGAATCCCGAATCTACCCACACCACCAGTCCTTATTCCTCTCAGTCCTCACTCCTCACCTGAATCGCGCCTTCACCTGAATCTACCCACCCGAATCCGGCTCCTGAATCAAGCTCTCGGTCTCAGTCCACACTCCTTCTCACTGCAAAAGGTAAGAAATTCCTGCAATAAACTCAACCAAAGTTCATACAAATTGTTTGATTCCAAATTCAATTAGGGATTTTGAATTTGGGTTTCTGAATTAGGAATTTCTGAAATTAGGGTTTCTGAATTAGGGCTTTTGGAATTAGGGATTTTGAATCGACGGAGAGATTGTAGAGGGAATGAGAGGTTAAAGGGGGGCAGGGAGCCTGACATAAATGTTTTCTAAAATACCTTCTGCAATCAGAGCTTTTTTACTTTTGTTTCTTTGTTCCTTGTAAAACGTTTTCCTTCTTTTTACCGTGTTTAAGATCCTTGTCTTCTACCATTTAGTTGTGAGCTTTGATGGTTTCTCTTTATAGAAATCAATTATCTTGATTGTCTACTTGAATTCATTTATATGGATTTTAGCGAGGTACCCCATTCGTTCTTTTCAACCGATTATGGTTATGTATATATTCTTATAGGCTATGCGAATGCATCTCCAATATGAATTGCGTATGATTTATCCTTCATGGTGTGAAATCATGATTTCTTTTACTATTTAGAACAAGAAAAGAAACCTTGATTTGAACAATTCGTTATGAAATCTAATTTGGTAATTAATTTAATTTAGTGTTTTGAAATCTAATTTCTGTCTTCCTTTTGAAATTTAATTTAGGGTTTGGAATTAATTTTGTTTGCAGAGTTCACTTCTTCCTTGGCCTTCCACAACCCACCTCAGGCATCCTCAGGCATATTTGGTTAAGTTGAGATTGTGAGTTTTGCATATTCGTTTGATTTTATTCTTTAACATCTGGTAGTTTATAGAAATTGTTCAATAAGTGGTACTTTATTAATTATTGACATCTGAAGTTGTGCTTCAACGACAATTACAGAGAATATGAGTGTTTCAAGGTTGTTTCCATTGAGGAGCTGGGTTGTTTATAGAATAGAATTTGAATCTAGTCTTCTTCGTGGGCATCTATCTACTGCATCAAGTCTAGAGAGTTATCTTTTTCTGTTATTTGTTCTGTTTAAAGAGCAGATATTGGTTCTTGAGACTTTCATCCTACTCGTACTCAGCAATACATGGAAATTTCTTGCAGGAAAGTTGTCAGATTGGCACATTGCTTTTGAATAGGCAGATTGTGCAAATTGGCAGATTAGTAGAAACAAATAGGTAGATTGGGCCTGCCTATATGTCAATTTTTCAATATAAAAGGTTGAATTTTAGCCCAAAAACATAATATGTCAAATTTTTATCCAAAAGTCCAAAACCATTTCGGGATTTCCGAAAATTTGGTTTGAGATCGGTATTGAAATTGGAATTCCCAAAAATTGCGGTTTGAGAATCAGGACAAGGATTTTGGTATGTGATCCCATACCAAACCAACCCTAATTTTGACAGCCATATTCTGACATAAATTTTCACTGTCCTACTCCCATATTAAGACACTAGTAGCTAACAAAAAAATACATATTTATTCAGGTTTTCACAACATGAAATCTGGCACGTGGGCAAATGGCAAATTTCAATGATGCCCATATAAAATTTGTAACAATGCGGATAGGAAACCTGAATTAATGTGTTTTATTATTAGTTACAGGAGCCTCAATATAAGATAAGAATCAGACAAATATTACGAGAACTAAAATTCCCCTCCAAGAATCTCAGTAATTTAAGTTGGGAGCATTTTTGCTCATCCCCATTTAGTGTGGTGTATGTTCATCATTCTATTTATTATCATTAGATGAATTTGAATTTCGAGATTCATGTAGTAGATAGACACAAATTTTAAAATTCAAAATTATTTAAAGATGATAAATAAGATAGTACGTATATACCACACTAAATGATGATAAGTAAAAATGCACTCATTTAAGTTTGAGTGGTAGTCAATGGAAATTAATGTCACAAGATGGCTAATCACAATCCTCTGCAACTCGTGAAAATCTAATACTGGTACAAAATTTTATGGTTTATGCTTAAAATAAGAATTAAGTATTCAAAAGACATATTTCGTATTTGATGGAAGTGTCACCTCACGGAAGACCGCAAAATAAGTTGCTTATCGTATATTTTTTTTTTCACTTTTAAAATAAAATTTTAATATTTTATGTTTTCATCAACGTAGTTTTGTACTAAAATGGTGAAACTGTACTTCTCTCGTCCGTGATACCAAAGTACTTTTTCATAACTAACAGGGCAGTTGTAGTTAAGGTAACCGTTAAAAAAATGAATAATTTTGTAATGACTATTGATTACTGAAATTTTTATAAAATAAAATTTACGTGATAAAAGTATATGAATGTAAGATCGTGGCACCATTTGAAGCGGATGCAAAATTGGTGCATCTAATTGGGCGGGGATTATAAAATTTATTGTGTCTGATACCGATTACATCGCATCTAGATGTGAAAATGTAAAACCTTATCTCTAAACAGAAAATTTAATTTTTTTTTATATTTTTTTATTTTTAAATTATCTATAATCTTAATCTAGAAGCTGATACTTTTTTTTTTATATATTTTTTAAAATTATTTATTTATCTTAATCTAGACCATGAGAGTTGTGCAAATTGTAAGTTCTCCGATTTAGTGAGTAATTAAGTAAAATTATACGAATGATTTACACATAAAAAGATTTTGGAGACTTGTATACTTTCAGGTTTGGATTACATGCTAAACCTGAAGTGCGTTATTTGGAGAAAGTTAAGCTCATGCGAAGGCATATGAAATAGACTATAGCAATTGGGTGCGAAGAACTAAATCTACATATTGAAAAGGAGATTGAAAAGAAAACAACTTGTGAAAATGCGGTTATTTAAGATAAATTTAAGAAAATATTTTATACTTTACATATCAAATTGTGTATGATCTCCAATTCGATGTCTCAATGTTGTTTAATTTATATGATGTATGAAAAATATATCAAGATTGGCGACATTGATCTTGAGTTTATATAGTAGTTTAGGAAATTGGAAGGTTTGGGGATGTAAATGAAGAAATGGTCAGGAAGGAGAAGCCAATCAAGAACAAAAAGAAAAAAGCAAAAACTGTATATGATTATCGTTTGAAGGGAAATGACGGAAAGGACTATAGGTCCTGCAGATTAGTATCCCACACATCCTACAGATTCTCAATCACTGCAGAAAGGATGGAAAGAATCATAGGTGAGAAAACAAATTGTTTTTCTATGTTTCATGTGTGTGTGTTAGTTTAATTAGAAAAGTATGGATAATGGATGCGAAATGAACAAACTAAGCATGGTTATATATATATATATATATATATATATATATATATATATATATATATAATGGATGTTTATAGTAAATTATTAACAGTTTTAACTCTTTTACATTTTTTTTGTTGTTCATAAATTAAGCAAGCTTCTATCCAAGCATGGTTGCAGCAGCAGTAGCGATTCGACTTGGACCATGTTTGCGTTATTGAAAATGCATCCATCAGGACCAGGGTATAATATAATATAAGAGAGTCTTGAAGCAAGCAAAAGATAATTAAATAACCTATGTAATAATTCACAATTCACGTACATATAATAAGTCAAATGATGCATCAAGATTCATGATAGAAGTTAAGTAACTCTATAACTCATAGTAAAAAATCAAGATTCAAGCATGCAAGCAGCAAGCGAAGACAGTAAAAAGACACCAACACCAATACCTGCATTATTTCATGTAACTGACTCATTAAATTTCAAAATGTCACTCAATTCATCATAAGACAAACCAATTTCTAAATCTCCAATTGTATAAATTTAGGGTTTCTAAAACTTTTTTTTTTAATCTAATTATAGATATTCGTTTAACAAAAAAGGATTAAATAGATAGAAAAACTGCTACCAAAACCCACCATCCCTAAAACCAAGGGCTCATTTACTAATCCGTAATCAGATTGAGAGACATTGAATTGAGGAGAAATTGGATTGAAAAGAAATTGAAACGAGGTGAAATCAAAATCAAATTCCTGTTAAAATTGTTTACTAAAATAGGCTGGAATCGGAGTACAAATGATATTGATTTATATAAACTGTTTACTAATTCACATAAATCAGAATGAAAATTAATGTGATTACTAAAATACCCCTATTGTAACTAATTTATTTTATATCTAATTATTTTTAGTAAAATTTATATTTTTTCATTTTTAAGTAGCGAGAATAACTATTTTTTTTATTTTCTAGTAACCTTTATTCTTTCATTGCTCCTTACCAGTTACCAACATAAAACAAACCCTAAAAAAAAAAAAAAAAAATTTACTTCCTGTCCTCTCTCTCCCCCATCTCTCTGCTGCCGTGCCGACCCATCCATTTCTAAAAGTTCCCAGGCACCTCTCTTTCTTCTCCTATCTAAAATTCCCCAGGCATCTCTCTCGTCTACGTCTCTTCCCCATCTTTCTCTACTACCGACCCACCCCTAATTGCGAGACCACCATCTTCCATGTTCTTTGGTCTTCATTGGGAATGCTAGCCTTGTCAAACAAAGGCTTGAAGGCAGCACCTATGGCCGGCCATCACCATCGCAAGGGCTGCAAACACTGACATTATTCTCATCTTTGGAGTTTGAGGGTATTATCGGTATAAAATTTGGATTCCTGATGAAAACCATTTCCAGGAATCCAAATACCTCCTCCCACTCAAGAATCGGACTCCGGCCATTTCAGGAATTGAATTCCTGATTTTATACGGGTCCCACAATCATTTTGATTCCTGATGGTTTGGTAAACGCTGGAATGGTCGGGGATATGTGCAATTCCCGTTCCCACCATTTCATTCCCCTTTGGTAAACATGCCTAAGAGTCAAGAGATTCCTAGACTTCATCTGTACATTCTTCAAAATTGTGCAAAAATTACCTTAATAGACAAAGCCACGGAGGAAGACAACCTAAGTTGAAGAAGGAGAAGATCAAATAGACTGCGAAGAAAGAGAGACAATCGCGGGAAATGGGAGAAACGGAGATGAAGTCACCGCCATGATGAGAGAAAGATGAGGGCTTTTCTTATCGGCGAACATATAAACAAAAAAGAGTAAAGAAATATGAGATGTTATTTAAGGACTAGGAAAAAAATGGAATATAGAATAATAATTAAATATAATTACGTAATGTATCTAAACTACATACTAATAGAATCTTAAGGGTAAGTTTGTTGCACCGGATTATTTCGGATCAAACTAGCTTCAGGGACTAAGATAGACTAGCTTAGACTAGACTAAGATTGACTAGCTTAGTGAAGCATTTGGTGCAGTGTCAGACTAAGAAGCAAGATAATGAAAATAGTATTGTCACTAGTTTGGTGTTTGCTTAGACTAAGACGACATTATTGTTCTATTTTATTTGCTTTTTTTTAATAAAGATATTATTAAAATTAATAATACTGGATGAGAGTAAGACTCAATAAAAATACAAAAACCAAATTTTCTTGCCAATGAAAGTAACATACATGATTCAAGAGTAGCATTGTTCCAAACATCAATATAACAAAGTGTTCTCCCAACAATCGACAGGGTTAAGGATGCTTTTCTTAATTATTCACCCTTGGTTTTATAGATTAAAGTTAAAGGTGTTGGTTTATACTTGTATTTGAGTAGAACGAAAATTGATGTCTGACAAGTTCAATTTTTTACTCAATTGTGAAATAATTACTTGGAATTGCTCTTGTATGTATAAGCCAATTTCAGTCTATACCATGACAATTGCATTCAATCCCAAGACCACAATGATGTGAGGCACAATGACAAATGGATAGTTGTGCATTGATCATTGCTACATTTGGATTCCTAGCACGTAAATTAGCTTGCTCCAACTAGTTTGAAGAAAACTAGTAACAACATGCAAAAGGAAGAGATCATGAACAATTTATGCATTCCTAAGCTAGTAATAACAATAATCATGCGTATGGAATTTTTGTTTTGTTTAATTAAGCGCATATATACATATATATACTAGTAATTATACAACATC